GAGCCGAAGTCAGACGCTTAACTGACTGAGCCACCCAGGCGCCTCTTGGAGGACAGCATCTGAAGAGGATCTGAGCATCAAATTAAACTCCATCACCCATTTCGAGCCCAGAGCCGAGTCCCGCAGCAGAGGCTGGCACCCCCTGAAATGTAATTGTCACAGTAGACTGGAAACTCCTTTCAAGTTTAGCTTCCATTTCAAGACGTTGGTGCCCTGATCCACAGCGATGCTACAGGGTGTCCCATGTACCACACAGGCTCATGGATGGGCTCTGTTGGTGGCTCCCTGCTGTTGTTACTCGGGATGCCTTTGGATGGTCACAGTGTTAGCCACTGCCTACTGCCCTGCAGATGCCCATTTATACATTCGTGTCACATGCCTGGCCCCACAAGCATCTGAGTTTGCGACTCCTGTGTGACATTTAATTTTTTTCTACATTTATTTATTTTGAGAGAGAGAGAGTTAGGAGGGGAGGGGCAGAGAGAGATGGAGAGAGAGAATCCCAAGCAGGCTCTGCACTGTCAGCACAGAGCCTGATGCGGGGCTCGAACTCATGAACCGTGAGATGATACCCTGAGCCGAAACCAAGAATTGTATGCTTAACTGAAAGAGCCACCGAGGCACCCCTACATTTTATTTAAAGTTTTATTTATTTTGAGAGAGAAAGCCAGAGAGAAGGAGCAGGGGAGGGGCAGAGAGAGAGGGAGAGACAGAATCTGAAGCAGGCCCTGCATTGTCAGTGTAGAGCCTGATGTGGGGCTCAAACCCATGAACTGCAAGATCATGACCTGAGCTGAGATAAAAAATCAGATGCTTAACCAACGGAGCCACCTGGGTACCTCTTGTTTGCCGTTTAGAGTGTGTCTTTTATGGGTGTCTGCCAGGTGTCCTGGAATTGTGTTACAACAGTTATTACTAGAAATCTCTAGACCACAAAATCAGGCTTGGAAACCTGCGCGTGAGATTGAAAATGTTCCGACAGTCGGACGGGGCCTGTGCCCTCTGTGATCTGGACTTGGCCCGCTCCGCACAGGGGCCTCACTGGAGAGTGGGGTGAGATTCTCCACCATCTTGGACATCATGGTTCTTCCAAACTGCTGTGTCTGCAAGAAATCTGCCCAGTGTCCCTTAGTGGAAACCATCAAGTTCAGCGACATCGATCCCTTCCCAACCTGTGTGTCACCCCCTCCCACCCCAAGACCTGCAGGTCAAGAGAACACAGACCTCCACTGGCTCCCCTATGTGCAAGGAAGAGTTACCCAAGTACCTGACAAAGGGGGGAGGCAGCAAGGGCGGACCCCAGCTTGGGATCCCCATTTCCGTGAGGCCACATGACTGTCATGCCTGTGCCAGGGCCCGCACTCAGCTGAGCTGCGGCGGCCCTTCCCTCAGCCACCACAGGACAGTGGGCAGGGAACGGGGGAGGGGGGCTGTCAAATACGCTCCCTGGTGGTTCTGCATTCATTTTTCCTTACAGAAGCTTCCGGAGAAAGCCCTGGTGTGGTCTCACTCGGAGGGAAGGCCCAGCCCACAGTGACACGAGGTGTCTGGGCTGTGCCAGCCCCCAGCCTCCTGACCCCCTGGAAGCTCATGCTCCCCAAACACTGCCCTGCCCAGCCCTGCTTCTCCTCATGAAGCTGACTTTCTGGAAGGTGTTGAATTCTCTTTCTTCAGGGGCTATGCTTTCTTTGGACCCTGTGGGTCCCTGCTCTGGGTTAAGATAATATTTTGAACAATGTGTGAAAACCATTTGGCCGACTGTGGCCGTCCGGAGCCACCACCGCCTTATGTCCAACTCTGCTGCTGGCAAGCCCTTCGCCCCACCTCCAGGGAGCCCTGGGGTTTGGACGCCGGCGTGAGGAAAACCTGGCCTTGGAAAATCGGACAGTGACCTTCCTGGGTATTGGCAGATGTTTCTTGTGCTCAGTGACTTCATCAACTGAGAAGAAAGATGTATCTGTATGTCTCCCTGTCAGGGGGGACAGCAGCCATCCCCCCCACCCATGGTCTTAGAATCCTGGGGGTCACCACGGCCCCTGGCCCCCTCCAGCTGCATTCAGCTGTGGGGGATGGGAAGGAAGTGGCAGAGGCCACCTTGCATGCTTCTGCTCCTGGGACAGCCACCAGTCCAGCTTCAGCTGTGTGATCGGATTGAAGGACTTGAGTCCCCAGGTTGGCAGGAGCCACCTTGTGGATCTGAGCCCCAGGGAGTCTGGGAGGCAGGAGGCTTGGGCCAGGCTCCTGAGCCGCTCCGTTACTGAAGCACCAGGTGACAGGGCTGAAAAGTTACGTTTCCAAAGGACGCATCCTGCCTTCTCAGACCTCCCACCTGCCCTCCCCAAGCTGGCATGTCCAGCTGGACCTGGGTAAGGACACGGAGCTGTTAAAGTCCCTGTCAGGGGCTGACCTGTGTTCCACCCAGATTCATAGGCTGAAGTCCTGCCCCTCAGGACCTCAGGATGTCCCTGCATTTGGAGATAGGGTCTTTAAAGAGGTAATTAAAGTAAAATGAAGGAAGAAGGGGACCCGAATCCAATATGGCTGGTATGCCCACCCACAGCTCTCCCCCCCTGAGCCTCACCTGCTCATCTGGGAAATGGACACAGGGCCAGCCCAGCTCCCCAAACTGACAGAAGGTCAAGAATGGATACACGAGGGGCGCCCGGGTGGCACAGTCAGTTAAGCGTCCGACTCCTGACTTAGGCTCAGGTCATGATCTCATGGTTTGTGGGTCCGAGCCCCACACAGGGCTCTGCACTGATGGTGTGGAGCCTCCTTGGCATTCTCCCTCTCTCCCTCTGTCTCTCTCTTTTGGCCCCTCCCATGCTTGCTCTCTCTCTCTCTCTCTCAAAATAAATATAAAATAAACTTAAAAAAAATGGGGGGCGCCTGGGTGGCTCAGTCGGTTGAGCATCCGACTTCGGCCCAGGTCATGATCCCACGGTCTATGGGTTCAAGCCCCACGTTGGGCTCTGTGTTGACAGCTCAGAGCCTGGAGCCTGCCTCGGATTCTGTGTCTCACTCTCTCTCTGCCCCTCCCCTGCTCATGCTCTGTCTTTCTGTGTCTCTCAAATATAAATAAATGTTAAAAAAAGTTTTTTAAAAAATGGATACGTGAAAAGCATCTGGTCTGTGTTGGGGACACAGGAGCCTCGTGCTGGTCATCACTGTGGCCTTCAGTACGTTTCCCAAACACGAACTATTTATTTCCCTCTGGGATGGAGGTGGGGGGATTTCCCTGCTCCCCTGTTAGCCAGGTAGTTCGAGAGAGAAGAAATTGGATTTAAAATGAAGACTTTCAATTCCGTAAGCTGTCATGCTCTGCGCTCAGAGACCTAATTTCCCCCCAGTGGAGCCCCACTTGGAAGAGCGGCTCTTCCTGCAGGTAACTGGGGCGTTTGCTTCCAGCCCCCTTACTGGATATCAGGGCTCCGGACACGCTCCTGCCTCCAGGGACAGGGCCCCCTCCCCCCCAGGGCTGGGGCTTTCAGAGCAGCCACCCACCCCCTCCACCAGCGGTCGTGCAGGGGAGGGTGGCTCCCAGGGCCCTCCCGGGAGGCATGCAGACATGGACCCTCACGCCTGTCCTCCCTTCCAGATGGCTCTGCAGTGCTCACGCTGCTCCTCAAAGCACATGTGCCTTCGTCTTCTGATCCCTCTCGTTCCTGCTGAGCACACCCAACCCGCTCATCACTGGCCGGCAAGTCTCCCCAATAACTAATTCTGTCACTGACACTTCCTGCCCTGTTTTCCAGCCCCTGCAGGAGCGAGGCCAACCTACAAATCCCATGCGAACAGTGGGTATCTGGTTCCTGACCAAGCTCACTTTCCAGAACGACGGGGATGTTTGTATCACGATCTGATTATTTAAACACGAGAAATACAAAGGCTATTCACAACTGCCATCTCTGCTCACTGTTGTGAATCCAAAAGGAGCAGACGTCTGCCTAGCGACAGCCTGGTAACTGTCATGCGTGCTGGGTCCCAGTCGATACCGGCCAGTCCGGTGGACAACATGGCCACAGAGCGAGCAGCCCTTGGACCCGCCGCCCTCACCTCGACGACAGCAACCTGTCCTCACACGCCTCCTTGTCAACACAAAGCAAAGCAAGAATGGGGACCCCGCCTTCTGGGCTGCCCTGCAGATCTGGCCCCTGCAGTCATTTGCACCCCATTAGTCAGCACCCCGAGCCACTGGCATGGAGCACTGGGCAGTGAGAGGCCGACGTGCCCCACTCCGTGCCAGTTATTTGCTGCCTCAATTTGGATTCTAGAAGTGACACTTCTTCAAACATTTCAGTGACTAGAGCCCCAACCCAGATGTTCACCACCCAGATGTTCACCAAACCGCCTGCATTAGCCAATCGAATACTGATTGTTTATTCTTAACACGCTGACTTCTCCCATCCTGGCAGCCTGTGGTCTCCCCTGAGCCTCCCAACCAGGTAGCTGGGGACAGCGGTCAGAGGCTGGGTGCTGGCTGGTGTGGCTCCAGGCTCTCCAGTCTCACTGTGTGACCTCAGGCAAGTGACTTAACCTCTCTGAACCTCAGCATCCTCAGGAGTAATGGGAGGATCGTGAACATGAGAGTCTCCCTCTCTGGGTCGGTAGCATATTTAATCACCTAAGCCAGTGCCCCCACAGTAGCAAGAGCTCTGTACATGCTGGCGCTCCTACTGTTGTGTTACGTGCAGATGTGCCCGGATGTCCCCGAGAAGTGTAGGTTCCAGATCTGCCATCTCGAATCAGCAACTTCTGTGCCATCCCACACCGGCCAGAGTTTCACCGGAAGGTGAGCTAGGATGTGTGAGAACCCGCCAGTAGCTGTGCTGACCCGAGGGGTGGATGGGGTCAGTCGCGGGTTTGGAATTCGAGTGTGTGCACAATGGACGACTGTTGTACCAAACAAGGGTGGCTTCCTGGCCACCTGCTCCCCGGCCAGCCCCCCGCCTCCCACGCCGCCGGCCCCCGGGCCCCCGCACTGGGAGCGAGGTACTCACGGAGGTGGTGCGCATAGCGGAGGTGGAACACGTCACAGCCATGCACTTGATGGTAGAGGGTCTTCTCGATCAGGTCCTGAGGCTCATACCCGGTCAGCTCGGTCACCCTGGGGGAGGACGTGGCTCCGTATGTTACACTGCTCTGCAGATCGCCTTTCGTTTAAACTGATATTGGTTTTGCCGACTAACCAAGTGCTAAAAGGCTCAGGGTGGGGGGCGGTGTTGGTTTTGGAAACTGAGAGTGATCCTTTTTTTTTACGAGGAGAAAGGCTTTGAACGCAAGCCCGGTGCAGGATGTAGCGCTATATTCATGGGCAGGCATGTTCTTCTGAAACTACTGGCTAGAAGTTTAAAATGGGGTGGTTTCTCACACCAGTCAGAGTGGCCAAAATGAGCAAATCAGAGAACACAAGATGCTGGCGAGGATGTGGAGAAACAGGCGCCCTCCTACACTGCTGGTGGGAATGCAAACTGGTGCAGCCCCTCTGGAAAACAGTGTGGAGTTTCCTAAGGAAACTAACAATAGAACTCCCCTATGACCCAGCAATAGCACTGCTAGGAATTTACCCAAGGGATCCAGAAATGCTGAGGCATAGGAGCACATGTACCCCAATGTTCATAGCAGCACTCTCCACAATAGCTAAAACATGGAAAGAGCCTAAGTGTCCATCAACAGATGAATGGATCAAGAAGATGTGGTTTATCTATACCATGGAATACTACATGGCAATGAGAAACAATGAAATCTGGCCATGTGTAGCAACATGGATGGACCTTGAGGGTGTTATGCTGAGCGAAATAAGTCAGGCAGAGAAGGACAAATATCATATGTTTGCACGTATAGGAGGGTTAGGGGGAACTTGACGGAGGACCAAGGGAGAGAAGAAGGGCGGAAATGGTGGGGGAAAGGGAGAGAGGCAAACCATGAGAGACTCTTGAATGCTGACAAAAACTGAGGACTGATGGATGTGGGGGGGAGGGGGGGAGGGGCATGGAGGAGGGCACTTTGGGGATGAGCACTGAGTGTTATGTGGAAACTAATTTGACAATAAACTATTTGTAAAAAAAAAAAAAAAAGTGCAGCCTAAACTCAAGTATAGAGCCTTACACAAGGCTGTGAACCCAGGAGGCAGGGACCACTGGTACCCATATTAGATGCTGCCTAAACATAGTCCTACCTAACTCTTTGACAAATATTTCTTAGCTGCTGAATAAAAGTTTATGTTGGATCTTAAAAAATAAAATAAAATAAATAAATAAATAAATAAATAAATAAATAAAATGAGGTGGTTTAAAATGTTTTCCTCTTTTGGGGTGAAGCTTATCTGAAGCTTAAGAATGAACTCTGGGGGCGCCTGGGTCGGTTAAGTGTCCGACTTTGGCTCAGGTCATGATCTCTTGGTTCGTGGGCTCGAGCCCTGCATCAGGCTCTGTGCTGACACCCAGCTCAGAGTCTGGAGCCTATTTCGGATTCTGTGTCTCCCTCTCTCTGACCCTCCCCTGCTCTCTCTCTCTCTCTCTCTCTCAGAAATAAGCAAAACATAGAAAAAATAATTTATAAAAAAAAAAGAAATCTGATGGAAGAAAGAACTCTCCATGGGCTTCTGGGTGCCAGTCCTGTGGGAACCTTTTTTAAAATTATTATTGTGGAGGGGCACCTGGGTGGCTTAGTCGGTTGAGCGTCCGACTTTCGCTTAGGTCATGATCTCGCGGTTCGTGGGTTCGAGCCCCGCTTCGGGCTCTGTGCTGACTGCCAGCTCAGAGCCTGGAGCCTGTTTCAGTCTGTGACTCCCTCTCTCTCTGACCCTCCCCTGCTCACGCTGTCTCTCTCTCTCCTAGAAATAAATAAAAATATTTTTTAAAAAGTGCAAAAAAATAAATAAAAATAAAATTATTATTGTGGAAAAATATGCATAACATAACCTTTGCCATTTTAACCAGTTTTATGCGTGCACTTAGCGGCAATCACTACAACCACAACGTTCTCCAGAACGCCCTACTGCCCTCCCCCGCAGCTAGCCTCACCCTCCCTCGGTCTCTGGGAATCTGTCTACTGTAGATATCTCAGATGGGTGGAATGACCTGGTAGTGGCTTCTCTCACTTAGCATCCCGTTTTCAAGGTTCACCCACGTTGCAACGTTGGGTAGGACGTCATTCGTTTCTACCGCTCGACTGTGTTCTACTTTATGTAGGCATCACGTTTTGTTTGCCTGCTCATCCCCTGATGGACACTTGGGCTGTTTCCACATCCTGGCTATTGTGTGTGCGAGCCTTTAACCCCCCACCGGCCACTGCTACCCAGCACAGTGGTCTCAGGAGGTTCTGGTCGGGCGGTGGCATTTGCAGCAGAACCGGAGACGCTGGAGCGCCCGCTGAATGGAGGCTTGTGCAGCCTCCAAAAACCAGTATGACAACACCCGAAAATGCCGTGGCCGTGAGGTAAACCTTAACGTCCGCTGGCAGAAGGGCAACACGTTCCCGGTGCTTTCACGCCATTACCGCCTCTCTGTTCCCATCGAGCCCCAGGCATCCTGGCTCCCCACGTCAGCGCTTTGAGGAAAAGTGGCTCTCGACGTCCAAGACCACATCATCAGTGGCGTTTGGATCCCTCCATCCGCAGGTGAAAATTGCATGTGGCAATGGTGTCGTTTCCCGTGCCCCCTGGCAACGGGGCTGCTAACTATGCCCTTGGTGGAGGTGGCCGAAAAGCCTTGGTGACAGATGTTTAAGAACAGATGAAAGAGGAGGACAGGAAGCTTTTCCAGAGGAAGGGGGTGGTCCTGGTGAGAAGTCAGTCCTGGGGGTGCGGAGGTGGGGCCTGAGGACGGCCAGGTCTGGGGGTCCTGCTGGCCTGTATCTGAAATGTCAGCTGTAAATGAAACGGGGAAACTTGACCTTACTTTCATTCTGTAACCTGCTCCCGTTTCTGTTGAGTTCTGCGCAGGCTCCGGGCCATAAATCTCTGAGAGCCTCATATTTCCCTGGAATCGCTCACTATTTGGTGTACACATTTCCATGGTGTTCCTCCAGGATGGGAAGGAGATGGGGCCGGAGGTCGGTGGAGAGGAAAACTGTGCGGGCCTTTCAAGGCTCGGCACTTATCTAAGGACCATCTAGAACCTTAGGCCCCATCGGAGTCTAACTGTGTGGCAGGAAAACTGAGATCTGGCTCCCCCCACCCAAAAAAAAAAGAAAACCAGGCATCTCTACGGTGTGGGGATGAAAGAGGCTTCCCAGACCCTTTGGAAGTAAAGTTACAGAACAACAGCCCCGAACGTGTAAATGAATCAGAAACACAAGTATTAAGTTTCTCATCAAAGCGCACACTGGCTTTAAAAATTAAAGGGAAAGAGAGGGGTCTGGCAGCATGCCCTCCTGGTTTTTTCCAAACCTCCAGTGTCTGAAGACCTGTCAGAGGGATTTGCCAAACCCCAAACATGGCTGGGTTCACCCATCCTTAGCGAAAGCACCAGCTACAGTTTCAAAGTGAAATACCGCAAACCCCCTATGAACCGAATTTCAGGTTATGCCGAGTTCAGTTGTGTCTGGGATTACACTGGGGGGGGGGGGGCAGGCGCCCCCGCCCCCGCAAGTCCCCTACCCAGGCCCCAGTGACTTCAGGGCTGCCGGGCTTCAGGCCAGCTCCTCGCTGTGGCTTCTGAGCTTTGGATGCAGGAGCTGACATCTGTCACCCCACTGGGCCGTTCTGCTGACCTCTCGGTCCGGGGCCAGTCCCTCCGTCCCCCGGCCCAGCGGCCCATCAGAGACGGAGCTGCAACAGACTAGAGACCATAGTGCGTGTGAGGAGCTCTCCCCGAAGCATCTCCTACGTGACAGGAGTTCCGGAGATTTGTCAGAAGCTTCCTGGTATGAAGCTGGAACAGCAGGGGACTTCTGTAGAAACAGGGGTCTTTCTCAAGATCACCATCTTCCTTCTCTCCTCACCTCAGGGGTACGGCCGTCGCCCTGAAGTGGAGGGACGCTGGCGTTCACCGAACCCCAGGCCCGAGGCCCCCTTCGGGAACAGTCTGGCCTCTGAGCTACCTTCCAACGCCCTCTTCTGCAAAGCCCTCCATTTGTCCTTCGCGTTTCAAAGCTGCTTCAAACAGCTGCAGAAGACCTGAAATCTCCCCTCTGGGAAGATCTCTCTCTTTCCTCTTCTAGAGAATCCTCCAGGCCTCCGAGGCTTCTCCCAGACTCGCCAAGGAAAAGCTAGGAGATGGAAGGTAACAGGGGAGAACCCGGTCGCGTCCTCCGAGTTTCTACAACCGTGAACTTGGGCGGCTGCAGCTCCTTTCTGTTCACCTTCCGAAGAGGCCCCTGCATCCGGAAAGAACCCCTTCTCCTGCTGCCAGGCAGCCCGGCCGCCCAGGGCCCCTCGGCCTGCAGGTGCCTCTGTCTTCGCTGCCGGAGCGGCCGTCAGTGTGGCCGGCCCCAGGGTGCTGGTCTCCTTCCCGCAGACAGAGTTGTGTGCTCTGCCTGGAGCAGCTGGGAGCACCCGGGCAAGTCCGTCACGCCTGCCTCTGTCTTCTCTCCTCCTCCGAGTGGTTCCGGGGTTCGCTGGTGGGGACCAAGGCTTCTGTGTGTTTTTGTCTCCCCCCCTCACTGGCCAGGTTTGCTTTTCTCCCATAACTGGTTAAAATGGTCGATTTTTTGTCATGTATATTTCACCACAATAGAAAGGTGGGGACAAAAAAACCAATAACTCTTAGCAAAAATGTATGTTTACATGTACACATATGCATGTGTATATCTGTATATGCATACACACACACACACACACCTCCTTTCTCCCAGACGGCTTAGTCACACACGCCGGAAGGCAAAAGTGGGGCCTCTGAGCATTTGCTCCTTCCTGAACAGCTGAGGACTCTAAGGGGTTAACAGGCAAAGGCACTCACCTTGCAGCTTTTTATTTTTATTATTATTATTTTTTATAGTGTTTATTTTTGAGAGAGAGTCAAAGTGCAAGCAGGGCAGGGGCAGAGAGAAAGGGAGACACAGAATCTGAAGCAGCTCCAGGCTCCCAGCTGTCAGCACAGAGAGCCCGACACGGGGCTCGAACTCATGAACTGTGAGATCATGACCTGAGCCAAAGCTGGACACTCAACCAACTGAGCCACCCAGGTGCCCCAATTTTTTTAAATGTGTATTTTATTTTTGAGAGAGTGAGAGCACAAGCAGGGGAGGAACAGAGAGAGAGAGAGGGAGAGAGACAAAGGATCTGAAGTGGGCTTTGTGTCAGCACAGAGCCTGATGCAGAGCTCGAACTCACAAACTGTGAGATCATGACGGGAGCTGAAGTCATTTAATCAAGTGAGCCACCCAGGCGCGCCCGGCCTTTATACTTTTACAAATGCTTCACTTCTATTATCGAATTTCATTTTTCCTAACAGCCTGTGGTTAGTCAAGAGGGCAGGGAAAGGCTGACTTTTTTACAGATAAGAAAATGGTAAGCGGAAGGAGCCCCAACGGCCTGGGGCCTCCTGAAGCCCCCAACCCCGCCCTGGGGGATAAGCCAGGGCCTCTCCAGCGCACACCTCCCCTGTGCGGCCGGCTCCCACAGGCCGAGCAAAACAACAAATCGCTGCTTTTGCCTCGTTCACTCTCCCTTCTCTCTCTGAGAAGACATCCTCAGACTGGTGGCCATTCTCGGGCGGGAGGGGAAGGATGGTTGGGAGAGACAGTGCAGGGGCCACTGTCTCTTCACCTCACCGCCAGCCGGAGGCGCCCTCCCAGCCCAGGCAGGGCATCCACTGAGCCTGTGGTCACAGCTTTCCCCAGGAAAGGCCACCTGTCTGCTCTCAGCCTCAGCCGTGTGGCTGCCACAGTTCCGATGGCTCCACCAGTTCACTGCAAAATCTCTTGTTCGGGGCGCCTGGGTGGCTCAGTCGGTTAAGCGTCCAACTTCAGCTCAGGTCATGATCTCACAGTTCGTGGGTTCGAGCCCCGCGTCGGGCTCTGTGCTGACAGCTCAGAGCCTGGAGCCTGCTTCAGATTCTGTGTCTCCCTTTCTCTCTTACCCTCCCCTGCTCACACTGTTTCTCTCTCAGAAATAAATAAAACGTTAAAAAAAAAATCTCTTGTTTGCTTTAAGGTCCTACCTACGTGACGGAGGTACAAGGCAGATTTCCGACATCGCAGCCCTTCAAAAAAGACTAACTTGTATCCGAAACACATATTTCCAGCTTCTACTCCAGTGAGACGATGAAAATATAAATAAATAATATAGGTACCTGGAAAAGCTGGCCACTCCCTGCGTACTAAGGCTGATATTAATTCTTTCAATTCATGACTTGGTTTCACTAAATCCCCTTTCGACTCACATTCTTTTTTAGTTTTAATTAATTAATTAATTATGGAGGGGAGGGGCAGAGGGAGATAGGGAGAGAGAATCCCAGAGAGGCTCTGGGGCTGACTACGCAGAGCCCCACGTGAGGCTCAAACTCACAGAACAGTGAGATCATGACCCGAGCTGAAATCAAGAGTTGGATGCATAACCGACTGAGCCACCTGGGCGCCCCCCTAACTCCCGTTCTTAGTACGACTTATTTCCTTGTACATTCTGGCTTAACAATACAGTGTTCGGGCCACTTTCCACCATCAGTATCTTCTGGAACTCTGCAGCAGCAGCCGGTGCCAAACTTACCTGGAATCCAGGAAGATCAGCTTCAGGTCGAGGCTGGCCCTGAACATGAACATGTTACTGTGCAGCTTGATCTCTGTGATGGCACTGGGTGGCAGCGACTGGCCCACGGCCACCAGCCCCACGATCTGGTAGCACGAGTCGTACAGGGACACGTCCAGCATAAACTGCCTGATCTTCAGGTAGCCGCTGCAGTGGATGACCTGGGAAGGCAGAGAGCACGGTCAGCCCGGGGGTGAGACTGGTCCCCACTCCTCCGGCTTTGAGCCTGCTCACTTTCTTGAGCATCCCGGGCTTTCCCCAGCCCAGCCTCTGCTGAGCCATCAGGCCCACAGGCTGACGACACCCAACCCACTGCTCAGAAGACCCAAAGCGACTCCTCTTTCTTAGGAAACGGTATCGCAGTAAAATGGAAGGGTTGTCTTATCCAGTTGACTTGGCTCCCGTAACTCCTTCTGTCTAATATGTAATGGACTGATACATAACTAACTCATCACCGAACCACCATCAGGTAGCAAACAAAAGCACTGTGGGAAGCTAATCGCTCGTTTCAAGATGCTCACTTTATGCTCATCGTCCCCCGACGGGACTGGATTTGACATCCCTCAACTTGACATTTATATCCCTTGACAAGCTATACCGTTCCAGTACGTTAAGAATTCATTCAGTAGTTGATTGCTTTGGTAAAAATAAATTAAATATTAATTTGCTAAAAAAAAAAAAGAATTCATTCAGTAGAATCAAAAATGCCTTCCTCTTGTACAAAATCAACGTACAGAAATCGGTTGCATTTTTATACACCAATGATGAAGCAACAGAAAGAGAAATCAAGAAACTGATCCCCTTCACAATTGCACAAAAAACCATAAAATACCTCGGAATAAACCTAACCAAGGATACAAGAGATCTGTATGATGAAAACTAT